CCATAGCTTATCATTATGTAAGAAACCTAATATTTTCCAAAAAAAAGGGTAATGGCTGTTAGTCTATTAACATTCTTTAGATTATTTTCTATATCACAATTGCTATGCCACTTCTGCAAATGTGCCTAGATTAGCACCACCCACCCTTGGATTCACTCTCTCTTATGAAGTGCTTGACACTTGCACTTGCACTGCTTTCTCAAGTCTGTTCCTTTAGACTAGTGAATTAGGAGGTGGAACTCTCTCCAGTAATTTTGTATGTCTTGCAAATTACAAGCTTAAACAAAATAATTTTACACATTCTAAACAAAATGAAAATTCCATATTGCCCACATTGCATTGTTTTTCAGATATCAGGTGTGTTGCTGAGATTTCTGATAGGAGAAGTAGGTTGGAACTTCAGATCAGTCATGACAGTATTTGAACTCTATTATCTTTTTTTGTTGCTTTTTTTTAATTAAAACACTCTAACAGTATAGGGTTGCCAGCAAATATATCTAAAGACTTAAGAGAGTCTGTAGAAATCAGCTGGAAATCATGATTGGAAAGCAAATAATGAAAAACAGCACAACATGTATATCTCCTAATGGTTAATAAAATGATAGAAAAACACTATTTGATCATCACTATTTGTACCTATAACACATTTATTTCACTAGAATCTTTAGGAAACCTAAACATACAGCTTCAATTATTGTTACTTAATGAGCTCAGTGAAATAAGGGAAGAGAGACCAACAGATGAACATTTTAGGTTTTGAAGCTTCCCGGATAAAATTTTTTGATTTACAGCTACACCTAATATAGCTGAGTAACACAAACACTAATATCCTGTTTCTTACCCTGGACAGCAAATCTTGTACTTCTTAAATCTAGTTCATCTTGAACTAATGCCACTTTATAAAAAGAAGAGAAAAGCTTATCAAATATTATTCAGAAATCTCTGAAAACAGTAAATACCAGCCTTTTATTACAGCTCTGGAACAAAGTCAAAATTCTGCTAAGTTTCTAGCGCAGAGCACAACTAACTGGAAGTCTGGATGTTTCATAAGTGAGTTTCACCAAAGGTATCACACTGAGATTCCAGGCCCATGTGTCATACCCTGAAACATCTGCCACAGAACATAACATTCTTAATAAATGAGATAAATAAAAGTGTGCACTTAGTGAAGTAATCATGAAAATATATCTGTTCATCCACGCAGATGAAAACCTGTTTATGAGTTTGCTTGGTAGGAAAGGAAATTCCTAAGGAAGATTTTTTTCAGTGCTGTTGAAATACACCTGGAGTATTTCTATGAAAAGTCAACACAGGGGTTCAGCAGTGTGGAAATATATATACACCACAAAGAATTTGATAAAAAGAAGTTCGTATCTCCTTATATACAACAGTAAAAAGAAAAGGTATTCCATTTTGTCATATTTAATAACACCTTGAAAAAAAGCCACACATACTTTAGAGTTATGTAATATATTTCCATGTTTTAGAGGAAGGGAAGGTAACTAAGAAAATGTAGGTTTGCATTTTTATGCTAAATTAATGCTAATTATATTGCCACTTATACCACATTCACATCCCACTCTTGCAAATTGCTACAAACAATTAAGAGCAAAAACCCATTCAAGTTAACAAAATGACAAGCTTTCTGCTACTTCAGAGTATTTTTAGGCATGGTATGTTCTTATCCTGAGTTGGTTTTCAGCTGTTCCTGTAATTCACAACTCCTCAAAATAACTCCATAACTCTCTCTCGCTCTTACTTTTTTTTTCTTTTTTTTTTTTTTTTTTTTTTTTACACTGTTTAATCAGGATGGGGATCTGAACTGTGAGTTTATCCAAACCAATCTCTTTTTAGTGCTTGGGTTTCTGCTCTGCCAAACCACTTCTGGTGTTTCAAGCAAGGCAATGACAGCATACCTTCTTGTTATTATTTATGCATGGAAGGCCAAACCAAATGCTTGGGTGGGTCGCTGAAGACATGAAGTATGTAGTTTTTTCCATCCACAGGACCCCATTTACATTTAAATGAACTTGCTCCTTGTGAAAGATTGGCTCCAGCAGAGAATACCACATGACCACAGACATTGAAATTAAATCACAATCACAAGGATAGAAGCCACCAACATACTGCTAAAATCAACCTACAACACATATCTGCATAGCTTTAAATATGTCAGTAATAAAAAGAAAATGTTCCATTTAATTTTATAAGATGCATCCCACTATATTTTTTTTAATCTATGTGCATAATAAAACACTGCTGCTGAAAGCAAGAGTCAAAAAAATAAAACACAAAGCTACCTCTGCCATGGCTGGATTTCTCACAAGCAATAGGAAAATTGTCATGTGCAGCTCCAGGCTTTAAATGGATGATTTCTCCTGGCTGATGCTGGAGTGGCACTGACTTGACAAATGTGGGAAAGTCCTCAGCTGTGAGATGGGGGCTTAGGTTGTGGGCTCTTGGTCAATTGAAAGGTTGCATTAAATGTAAATTATAGGACTGTTACTTAGATATATACCCTTCTCAACCAGGTGAAAGGCAAACAGCGCCCTGCACTAATTCACAGATGAACTGGTGATAGGCTTGCTGAATAAGGGAAGCAGGCAGGCAGCAGGCAATTATAATTCTCATCTTTGAAGGAAGGTATTTTTATATAAAACCATATTAAATTTTGAGTTTTAAGTGCCTCTATGTATTTCTCTTTTCAATTTATATGGAAAAGTATTAGGCAAAAATCTACAGCAGAACTGGCAGTAAATATCACAGAAACAATTGCTCTTTTATTAAATATTTATTGAAAAAAATTCCTGTGCTTTCTCATTTTTCTTCTTCTGCTTCCAATATTTATTTACAGCTGATTATTAACATCTGCCAGTGTAACAGTTTCATCTGTACAGAAGCCGAAGGGTAAAAAAGTCACAGACCCCCTCTAACATGACCTGTAGTTAGACACAAAACAGTTTTCCCAGTCACCGCTTGGCTTCCTGTCTGTGACCTCTGAAAAGCATTGGAGGCCAGGGTTAATGGCCTTTCCAATCTCTGTGATAAGAATTCATTTTGTTCTATTACCAGCAGTTATCTCAGGAGCCTGCTGCATCACTTCAGCAGGGTTCAATCAATGAGAGGACCTAATGAAGTAACCAGCTGTAGCTCTATTTCCCTGGTCAACTCTATCAGACAAATAAGATCTATCAGTCACATCTTAAGGCCAGTCCTAGAAACAGCATCCTCACATGCTGAACCCATATGCATATGAACCAATGATACCTGGTTCTTTCTTTTTAATCTTCCTTTTTAATATGGCTTTTCTAACAGAAAATGGAGCAAAATGGGTTTGAAATGTTGCATTAAGAGGACAATAATGCTGGATTAAGAAATACTGGATTTTCAGAACAGCAGGAAGCATTTGTATTAATAGCAAAACCAGAGTGAATAATATTGCGTGTCAGATATTTCCTTCCCAAGCAACCCCTATTCTCCTTAGACAGTACTTTTACAAAAAAATAGTTTATTATTTTGCGCCTTAAATTACTATGTGTCATAAAGTTTTAATTATGAGACTTAATTTTTAGTTTGTCACTTAGGACCTAACACTATTATGGTAATGCTCTTCAGTTAGATGTCAGTCAAAATAATTGTCAGTCAATTTTATTTTATATCTAAGATCACTGAAAATAAAAATGTTGAAAATAAAAAATAAAAATGTTGATTTTGACAAATTGTATATATATGTAATTTTTTGATTTGTTATAATTAAATTTTTACTCTCATACTTCAAAAAGGGCTTAATTACTTAGAAATACAAACCTTCTTTAAAAGGCACTGGATTTGAAAATTGAAAAATAAGGAAAATAATAATAAAGGACAACTTCAGGACTTCAGAGCTGTGTACATCAAAGTAAAACTTTGTAATTAATTACAGGGTACAGGAGAAAAATTCAATTCATATTGCTTGTACCAAAGTGTCCAGTCTGACTTTATCACTAGGTGTGACAAACTAAATTGCACCAGGCCACTACAGGCAAATTACTGAAAGTGTTGTGGGAAGGCATCTTAGAAGAGTGTCATATTTGCTGAAATGTTGAAAGCCACATGTAGCTAGGTTTATTTTATTAGGTTAATCTCAGTGAATCTCATGAAATGAAATTTGTAGCCTTTTAACTCAACTGTGTACTTTGTCAAATTGAGATAAAATAGTCTTGCTATGTGCTGCTGAGGAGAGAGACCATATCCACGAAATAAAGCTAAAAATCATTACTATTCAACATGCATATACAAAGTGTACATAAATGTCTATATAATTAAAAGCTAGATATCATTTTGCATATACTAATACATCTGATGGATTATGACACACAAATTCCAGAGAACATGTGCTTCATATAAGCGCTTATCTCTCTTTTTCCTATGTGCAAAACAAGGACATTCTTCTTTTGTAGTCTGCCTGCACTACTAAAACAATATGAATATTACTTGCAGAATCAAAGGAAATCCATGAACTCTTCCTTTTTAATTTTAAACCACCTTATTGAAAAAGAAGGGGAAGAATGCATTTTAGTCGTGCAGTTTGGTATTTAAGGAAATCACATTTCTGCCATAGATACCTAGGTACATTTGAAAAGGATTCAAATATCTATGCTGCATATGTAAACAGATAAGATTATGCCTAGCAGGCATTTTGGGAACATCTGTCAATTTTTTTATGGAACGCACTGATTGTGGGCTATTGATTGCATTTAAACAAAGTTGTTTCAAAAAAAAAAATCAGCGAACAATTCGTGTAGAAAGGACTGATCAATATTTAAATGACTCTCTTTATTGATTTAAAATTAACTTTCAATTAAGAGATCCATAGGACTCTTAACTGCGACACTTATCCATTCAAGAGAAAATAAAGGTACATTTATCGATACACTTAAACAGCAGTGGCTGGTTTCCTATTGATTCAGTCATTTGCGCTGGGATTCGTTAGCGTCATCTGACTTTAACTCGCTTACTAGGTCTTCACAGTGTGCCATGCTGAAAGGTGCAGGAATGCACAAAACGATACAGGGGAAGCCAATGGAATTAGATGTATGCAGAGGTAAGTCATACTTATTCTTTTTATGTCTCTTAATGAAGGAAGAATCCATTTAAATACTGCCTAGCTTTTGGGTTTGGTCAGGCACAAATTCCTGTCAACTGACCTGCTTTGCACCATTTGAGACAGGAAGCATAAAAATGAATGAAATTTTTTGTATAGATAGGTAAGAGTTCTATTGGCTCGTATCAACTCTAACTATCACCTATTTGTGTGTATTTATTAACATATAATCCATAAGAAGGTATGCTCATTGTTTGCAGAATGATTTTAAGTGGCAGTATTGTGATGTCCTGCATATGCTTCTCTCTCTCTCTCTCTCTCTCTCTCTCTATATATATATATATATATATTATATGTATGATATTTAAGCTCAATATAATTTAATATTGTTATATGGAATCAGCCATCATATGGATTTTGAAGGGCTTACTGAGACATTTGAAAGTAAATATTGTGTGTATCTCTGTTTTAAAGAAAAACTCAAATATATTTGCACTAAACAAAAATATACTACAATAGCATAGCTATAACTATAAACATGTGCAAAAGCATCAGTACATTTAGGAACACAAATTAAAACCAGGACTGTAATTACATACTTCATTATTTATATGTATTCTGGGTATTTTAGTATACTATGGAAGCTGGACATGTAATCTCTATAGTTAATAATAGACCAAATTCATCCCAGGTGTAATTTCATTGAAGTCAACAGACCTGGAACTGCACCTGGAATGAATTTGGCCCAATGCTATGAATGCCTCCTGACTCTTGCCAGCCTAGATTTACATATAAGATATAACAAAAAAATGAAATAAAAATAGAAGATGTCCAGGAGGCATAGCATGTTTACAAAGCAGAGTGGTAATAACCTTGCCTGATATATATGTGGCAGTGTTTTGCTTAGGCAGACAGTATCATTGGGAATGGGGGAGGGTTAGCTCTGACAGTGGCTCAGGTTTGCCTGTATCCCTTCATGTCATTGCCTATTTCTTTCTCTTTTTCTCTCTCTCTCTGTTTTTGAAGCCTCATAGCCCAGAACCGTCCAGTGAAATGAAGCAGCCCCAGACTGACTCATTTATTACCTATTCATTTGCTGTGATGAAATCTCCAGGAGCAAAAATCCGCTGCAGTATAGTAATGTTTAAACATTAAGACCTATTCTGATCAACTGAAATTATTCCTTAAACTGAGAACCACAAACAGAATGTATATAAAATATAACTTGCATAGATGATCACCAACATCCTGTTTTTAAAAAAATTATTTTGCTAAGAAGAAAGATCAAATTCTTTGAAGTCTGGGTATGTTTTACATTATGTCAAGCTGCTGTTTCCATTATTTCTTCTTTTCTCTGTCCACTAAAGGTTAAATCATACTTACCAAAGGCTCATTTGCAGAGTTATAATATGAATCAGTGACATCTTTAGGATCATAATAAACCAGGAAACTGGGTATGGACTTTTGTTGCTGTGTGACAGTCAAGATCAGAAAGACCAGTGTACAAATGCAAAGCAAAATACCCCCTCCTAATACTTCTAAATCACATAATATTAGTGTAACATAATTTGGAATATATTATGATGGTTACAATTACTAAAAAGTGCATGATGCCATTATTTCCAACTGGAAATTAGATGATTATACTAATTAAGTGATAGCAGGTGGCACAATGACTGCTACAATCTTCTCTGATGTGCAGAGAGAGATGCATGGTTCACTGTCTAAAACACTCAGGAATAGTAACAATTTGCTAAAGCAGTATTCTGTCCCAAGATGCAGAATAAGGATTCACTTTGATTTAACACTTCCTTATCACATCAAAGAGGTGAAGGGACATCTTATGGGTTGGCTTAGGAAAAAAAAAGTACTACCAGTTCAGCTTCTACACTTGCATCTGACGTTTCTTGGTATAACAGAATTAAAGTATGAAATTAATTCCAAGAGAGTCATGTAATTCTAAAATATCAGCCACCTTCCTTTAAATTGCAACTGGCCTAAATTCATCATTAATGCTTTTAAGTTCCTCAATTCAGAATTGCTATAGATGTACTATAGCAATAGAGTCTTGTAAGTCAAGCAAACTGGAAATGCTGTAGTAAAATAAATATTTCTCTGTCAATAAAAGCACTCAATACTTTTAAGAATATATGTGGTCATTAAATACATTTGAGTTTGAACTCAAATTTACTAAGCAGTATTTGCACATTATTTTTACAGCAGGATTTGAAGATTATTCCCAATATCACTGAGTTAAGACAAATAATTCTCCAGTCTTGTGAGTTATTTCAGAGCTTATTTTTCTTGTCCTTTCTGCTCTATGGTCAGACTGAAGTAAGGCTAAGTCATCACCCACAATTAGTTTTCCAGATAAGTTATGGTTAGTTTTAAAACTATGAGATGTGTTTAAGAAGCTACTCTCTTTTATTTGGACTTCCACGTGCTTGTGGAGTGTGCCCTCAGTTTAGGGATGGCAGGGGAGCAGATCTGCTGAAGAAAAACCATGCTGTGCAAGAATGCAACCACCATATGCCTAAGAGGCAAAAGAAGTGATTGTTACAAATGATGAAAAATAAATGTTATCTAATTTCTGAAAACATCTTATCTAGTTTTATGTCTCTGTAGCATTCATTTTAGTTTTGTTACTTAGTTGCTTACTACAGATCAAAAGCATGGCTGATAAGACTTAAGTTTAGATATATTTGTAACATGCTGTGGTATCTTACAGCATAGCTAGTTCGTTCAAACAATTCCTGCCTTCTCCCTCTGTATCTTGCAAAGCCACAATTTCAAGCAACATTTTTGCTATCTGACTTTCTACAGGTGAATACAAGAGAAAGCCAGATCTGGCAGTAGTAGGTGAAAAACTATTTTTTCCTCAGGATGTTATGCATTACGTTGTGGTGACATTCTCAGTGATGACATGTGCAAATTAAAGCTACCCTACTCTTCTTCTTCCTCTAAAACTCACATAGTTTTATGTGCTATGATAACCACAAGTACCATGCAGAATGTGTCCTTAGCAAGGGCAAAAAAGAAAGGTTCTACAACTTGGAAGCCTAAATGAGCCTTTTACTTTAGAATTAAATGTGAAAGCTTGTGAAAATCACTCATCTTCATCTTCTAATGTTTTAATAGAACTTTATGGAAGGAAACTAAACTTCTGATTCCAAAAAAATGCCTTATCTCCTCCATGAATACCAAACTGCTCAGCATTTAGAATACTATCATACAGATGTTGTTCAGTGAATTGATATCACAGTTGCATCTTTTCTAGGACAAAATTTGAACAAATTTCCTGTAGTGAACATGACAAATACCTCCCTCTCTGTGGCTAAAATAAAAAACTACTGCTGCACCCCTGGATATTCAATTACCTATGCAAATGGGAATAATGGTAGACAGTTACTCAGAGACAGCTACTGGAGAAACTTGAACTTGTTGTTCAACTAAAGAAAATAATATTATCATACTATAGGCATGAGCCCAGGTCTCTTACCTTCATATGCCACTGATTAGTTCAGCCTTAGCTGAACAAAAATCCTTAATCTTCTCTTTTTAATATTGAAGAGGTAAACCCTCTTTCACCTGCGTGTGGAGTCTCCGTTTCATCAAAGCTCAGGAGATTCCAGCAACAAAATCAATGTATGCATGTTCAGAGCAATTTTCAGGGTTTTGTAAGACAAATCTTTCAAATGGGAGCTAGTTTAATGCTATTGAGCTGAATTTCGATCTGACAGAGTGAGTGAACAACACAGAAACAGTTCACTTACCACTGCTCACACTACAGGAGGTGGGAATCAGGTACAGGTCTGTACAAATACAGCTGTGCAATTTCTCAGTAAACTCTTACCCTACCTAATACAATGTTAAATGTAACCATACAGGGTTTAAACAAACAAAGACTTAAGAAAGAAATGCAATTTATTTCTCTACTATAATGACTGACAATTATGGTTTTCTCATACAAAGTAGTGAAAATTAAGACTAGCTCTGCTAGATTTAATAGAGTTGTGCTACTGCTAAGCTGATTTTAACTGAAACATTTTCAGATTCTGTGTCCTAACAGAAAACTGTATCTGAACTATGATCTACAAATATCCTGTTCTGCATTTCCCTCTGTTTCAAAACTTCCAACAACTTGCATTCTGGATTTTTTTTTTTTTTTGGAAGAAAAAAAAGAACATTTATAAAAGACTCAATTTTATTGCCACACGTTTTAGGTTAATATGAGCTGTAGTATAGCTTTGCGAAGACAGATTCTTTTGTTCCTGTGCTCTTATTCTTTGAATGCCAATACTTCAATCAGCTTACAATCCAAGACAATTCATTCTTCTTCTGAGAAAATAGTATTATAGCCACATGTCCATATCACCATTACATCATGGCAGTCTCCACAATCATACATCTGATTAGAAAAATGATCACTAGTCATTTCTGGAGCTATTCAGTATCTGGAATAATAGAGTATATGCTTCCTCTGTACTATTTAGATTCCTTCCTTCTAATAAACAAACTAATGAGACTTCTACAATGCTTGAACATACAACCAGAGTGGCAAAGTGCAAACTAAAATGAATCAAACAAAAAACGCCAATACTTTTAATATGTATGTTACAGTGGCAACGTGCCCACATTGGCTCTTGACAGTTCCTGATTTATAAATAGGGCAATATTCTACTAACCAGGGACTAGAGGACAACTTTTACACACGTCTAATTCAAATACACAGTTCCAGGTCCTTAAAAATATAAATATCATCTTCTTCTGCCATTATTCATTTCAAATCCACAGCTCTAAGTAAACAAGAAATGTGACTGTTGTGTTAACTCTGTGTTAGCCCTAAATATTCCTCTTTTCAGGTTGTGCAGGTGAGGTAATGAAGTTCTCTTCAAAAGAGACAAATTAGTACCATTCCTTCTGATGTGCTTAAATATCTGCAGAATTTTGGTTGTTTATATAATACATTTTTGTAATCCATGCAGAAATACTAGATGGAATAATGTAGCAATGCATCTTTCACACACTGTAAAATATAAACAAATCAGTATAAATTATAAGAGTGAAAAAAATACAGGACCCAGGGTAGGTTCCTCATATTAGCAAAATTCCAGCAGGCTAGCCATCTTACTTACAATAAAAATGTCTATTATCTGGTGTAATTGAATAACTCTCTGATAATTACATCAGCATTTTAATAGTATATAAATAACCTCTCCCCTAATTACCATTTTGTTAAATTTTTCATATATTGCAGTGCTATGAAAGGAGGTTCTTGGTAAAGTACTTTACCCTTTCAACAACAATTAATAATTCAATTAACAGGTCTTTTTTTTTAAAACAAAAGCTCACGGAGAAAGAGCAAGGAGGTCTACAGTTGAAAGGAGAGCTCTCTGTTATGCTATAATCACGGCTTCATGGTTATAGTAGTATAAAATTTGTTCATGGCTTTTTCTCTTTCACTGCAGCCCCTAAATAGAAATGACACCTGCTTTTTGGTGCTGTGAATAAAATCCTGTGCACATGACTCAAAATACAAGTGAACCTAGCTCCTTTGGAACTTAAAAAGAGGCATTTCCACATGCAAATTTATTTTTCACATGTGAATTTGTGTATTTGTTTTTAAAAGAATCCGTAGAGCCAGCCATGTCGTAGAAGTCTTGACATTATGAATTAGAGGGGAAATACATTGCCAAAAGTAGAAACCAAATTTTCTCCCACCAAACATTTAGACAGTCACACTTTCCTTCTCCCTGGTGTCAGGGAAGGAAAGTGAAATGCCTGGCTCAGAAAAGCACTGCTGAACAGAAGATGCAGTCCTCACTCATCCATAGCCTGAGTGAGAAGCCAAGCATCTGAAAAGCTTTGAATCATGGGTGACCCTGTAGCAAAACAGAATTGTGTTAAATGAACGGCTGACAATCACAACTGCGGTTCACATAGCAGTAATATTCAGATGCTACAATAAGATCTGCAACATTAATGTTTTCAGTCTTTATAATCAGTGTCATATTTTGCTAATTTCTAGGCTGTTTATTTACCTCATGACAGAGAATGCCCCAGTTAAACTTATATCTACTGTCAGAATTTCAAAATGTCATCTCAAGTTTTACAGAACCCTCATTCTTTTTAGAAGTAATTAGTTAAGGCATAGTTTGCATGGCAATTAAAAACCACTTGCTTGCAGAAGCTTGTAAGCATTATGTAATTTTTTTAAACTACAAGTACACATGCATATTCTTGCCTCCAGCTTAAATACAGTGAATGTTGTAGTTGGTTGCACAGGAATTGTCTCAAGAACATAAAAGCAAGCCAAACACGATTGTATTCCAACTAAAATTGCTCTCTTTATACCGTGTATTGAAACTTGATAACTGTTGGTTATAAAATTCCTTTGATTTTCTGTAGGTAATAAAATACTTTGGCAATTACTATTGACAGTTCTGGATAATCTTGAAGGCTGCCTTGCCTGAAGAAGATGAGTGTTACAAATCACTCCACTGAAAGAGGGAAGAACAGCAGCAGGCAGCAGACAGGTTTCAATTTCACAATGCTGATTATCTCATTCGTGATTCTATGCATGCCTAAATCTGAGGATCCCTCAAGCAGCTATATGGACTTCTACTTTTAAAATGCCTATTACGCTTTCATACTTTTTGCTGCTTCCTGAAGAGTGCCATTTCGCCAAGCTTAAATAGCAGAAAATTGCACTGCTTTTCCTCTGCCCATCTCCTCAATCTCTATTAACCTGCACAAGAACAAAGGAGTATGATAGTCCAGCTATAGGTTGGGAAATAGGTTTGAAGTTGTTTTTCATTTACTGGTACCTATCTTCCTGATTCATAAATGTATTTGAACAATAACATTATTTTAATACATTATCTAACGACTGAAAGCATAGCCTTTAATTACATCTCTATTTATACTAATAAATAGGCTCTGTGTTCAGAAATACATGCAGCTATTGTTTACCCGGGCATCAAATGATACCGTAGTGCTGTCAGCATGTGTCAAGGCTTAAACAGAAAGGAATAAAAAAGAAAATAATGAAAAATGTTGCGGGTTTTTGTTAGCGGTTTTTTTCCCTTTCTTTCCTATCTAGGTTACAAGAGAACAAACAGAAGCAGCTACAAGCAGACTGGAAAATTGTTGAAGCACCTGGTTCTAATGCTTGCAGTAGGACTTTATTAGATGTCATAAACTGAATGATGCATTACTCTGTGGACAACTTATAGCCTGCAAATGTTGAGGCAAAATGGAAGACAAAGAATTCTTTGAAAACAAAAAGGTTAAACGTTCCTTTTTAATTAAACAACACGTATCAGATGCAGGAATACGCTCACAGAGATTGGAGACTATTTCTGTTACTTTTTAATGTATTTCTATATCACCTTAATAAATAAAAAGTATTTTACTTTAACAATTCACTTTTTATGGATGAGTGATTTACAGTCGATCCTATATTTCACCTTTATCATTAAACAAAGGAAAAACATTTAAAAATCCTATTGTTGATAGAGGTTTGGCAACCCAATCTCAAATCTAAATAGTTGCATTAAAATCCATGTAGGCAGTCAACCACCAAACAAAAAACTGGTAATTTTTGTCCATCAGAAAATGTTTTAAAATAAGATTTGCCTTGCATTTAAAAAGATAAAAGAATGTTTTCTAAAATGACAATTGCTGGTTGGCCACAGATTCTGGGCTTTAATCTCATGGCCTGCTCAAATTTCCCATTATGTCTGGAGGAGGCTTAGGGGGACAGAGAGGCCGAACTGTGGCCCTTTGACAGAAGTGGAGGGGGTTTCAGCATGGAGACACACAGCTGTTGCTCACAAAATGCAAGTGTTAGAAAACCTCACTACCAGGTTTGGGTTTGTTTTGGTTTTTTTCCTTGCTGCTAATAAAAACTTAAAGTGTTTTCTGTGCTTTATATAAACAGTGCACTTAAGTTTTATAATCTAGTATATCTTATTAAGCGTGAAGTCTGCTGATCCCTAAATTATTCATAACATGGTCCAGACTGATTAAGATTGGCTTGTTAAGGAGCACAAGAAGCAATTAAACTGACAAGGCAGTGCGGCCTTGATGTATACATTTATTATCACAAGAATACCCAAAGTGAATGCCCTTATTAAGCAATGAATTTCACCTCACTGGCCTTCTACCATTGCTGCCACAGGCAGAGAGAGCTAGGAACAACATGTCAAAAGCTAACTCTGAGGAAATGCCTATCTTCAAGTGAAACCGATTTTGTAATGAACCTTTCAGTTCACTCCTGAGGTAATAAATCCTGACTGGTGCATTAATTACTTGATAACATCCCATCAAAATGCAAATGCAGCACTTGACCCATAGGAATGGCTCACTAGCTGTTAACTCTTCAGGGTATACATAAATTGTCTGTTTTCTTTTATCAAACAGGGCATTTATTTCCATCTTGCTAGGGTGAATGTCACTCCTGCCACCCTCGGCCCCTCAGTGGCCTGACACCATCATTTGCAGAGGACTGTCACTATGTGCCGACATTCTAATTGTGCTACTTCTTTGCTTTGTACCTTTGAGGCAGAATTTCCAGCTCCCCCCCCCCCCCCCTTTTCTGGAGGAATCTTGCATGTCAAGGACAAAGCTGTAATAGCGTTACAAAGAATGACCCCCACCTCTAAAGTACACTAATCTTTCTTTTCAATGGCAATACATTAAACAAGGAATTTAGTTCCTTGAAGTGATTAAATGAAAGCTGAACATATCTACGTGAACTGCTACCCAACACAGGCAAGTGTGCATGCTTTTAGTGAGAATGCCACCAAAGAGATATTTACATGTTTTAAAGACATTCCTCAGTCCCTTCATCAAGTGCTCAGTTTTGACAGTCCACAAGCAAATAATATGTCAAAAAGTAAAACAAAGCATACTTCACAACACAAATTTAGCAACAGTGAAATATGATGCATCATATGCTTTTCACTTGCCAAGAAAATAGGCTGCTTTAATTACAAAAACTATTTCCACAATAATGTTAATGAGGAGCTGTGTTTTATATTTCCCCACTCAAAATGCTAATGTACATGAGTGGGTCTGAGTCTCCCACCTGGGTCAACCTGCTTTACAGTTTTTCTATTTGTCTTGAAGGCTTGGTGAAAATCCTTAATTCAGGTTACTAGGCAACCCTGCAGGTGAGAAAATATAATGTTTGGCCTACTCCATTTTCAAATACACACAGTGGCCTAATGCCTTCCAAATAGACTGTACAAAGCATGCACTGATAATTCCCTGCTACATTTTCTCAAGGCGAGGTCACAAGAAAATTAATTGATGCTGAAAATAATGACAGGACGAGAAGAACCACTGAGATTTGGTGTGACTGGCATGTGATGATGTTAGCAGAAATCCCAGCATGTGACTGGACAGTGTGATGAAAAATATACTTTATGTGAAGGAAAAACAAGTTACAAAACTTAATTAGTTTTTGACACTTCTTCATAAGTTATTATCTTTTCATTTGGAACATTGCCTTGGGACATCAATACACAAGAAGAAATGAAACATTCTTACTGTAAATCTGAAGGAAAAAAAGATGACTTTATATTGCTCTTCTCCTTTTACATGTCTTTTTGAATAAACAAAATTTCCTCTGCAGCCTAAGGTGTACAAGCCCCTGAAGATCTTTCTGCTGAGAGCATAGAATAGACTTGTTCGATGTAATAATCCTTTTACAACTGATTATGCAGTTTCACTTTTAAAAATAAAGGGGAGGAGGATTGGAATCCAAAATAGTCACATGCGCGCACACACACCCACACACACACTAAAACAAAAGTATAGATGAGAAACAGTTAAATTATGGCACCTACAGCAATAATGCTTCCTGTACAGCAAATGTATTTTTAATTTTTTCCACTAAGGCTTATACCTAGAAGTAATTCACACTGATTACTAAATAACCCTTGTGAGTTGCTTTGTCTTTTGAATTTTAAAAAATACACTTGCCGTGAGCAATGAATTTCATAAACCACCAGCTCTCATGCTTGATGAATCATTCTTATTTTATGCAGTTCTGTGTGATAGAGAACTGAGATAAAATATTCTATCCACAAGCTATTCAGTACAATTTATCATCAGCGGCTCACTAGTCCAGTGATAATACCTGGCTTGCAGATTGTAATGATCAGATTCTGTTTTTATTTCAAACAGGAGCGATCCAAATACCAGAGTTTTTAATTTACATACATTAGTGAGGTTCAAATGTGGCAATAGCTACAAGCAAATTCACTTGCAAACTGAATGCTCGCCTTGCATAAATGGGTTCCCTTTAGCTATTACTCACTAGTGAAGTACCCAGATAAAAATGAAAACAAAGAGGAAATAAAGGAAATCATGATACCAACACCATACCGTCAACTAGGATAATTACTGAACTACAGTGAAGGTTATATTTATACCTGTTTTAGTAATGATTTCTTATATTTTCCCTTTTGTATTGAAAGCATAAATTACATGCCTTTTTTTTACATTATTACATTACTGTATTCCTTTCATTCTGTAGTTTTCCAAAGTTTCAGCACATTATCACCATTAAAAGTTTTTGTTGGCGTAAATTCAAACAAATGAAACACTGAAACAGCTTCTAAAAACATAAGCAACTTCAAAATATCTGTAAATTACACCAGCTTGAACATTTAATAAAAAACAATGGGCCTATAATAAAATACCTCTTACAGCTATATCACTTTTATACTGACCACGGTATTGAGCTTCAATTCCCAGCAGCATCATTACTAGACATTTTCTGCCACCTTTCTAAATCTGAAAAGCTTCCTACATTTAGTGAAGATTAGGTAATGCTACAAGCAATCAATAACAGCTATCAATTCCATAGCTTGTTTGGAAGAACAAGTTGATTAAAAGTAAGTAAAAAGGATGGTTGAATATATCTTAAAACTATATGATTCATCTAACTATACCATCATGATATGAAAATTATTATTCACAGGCCAAAAAAAGTAGGCCATAGCAACAGTAAAGTTATGACTCAAAGCAACAAAAACCAGAATATTCTAAGCTTGACACTCTCTCCTTATCTTTCCACTGAAGAAGGAAAAAAACCCAACAGAACAAAACAAAAAACCAAAAACAAAACCCAAAAAAACACAGAAAAAAAGGAACAAAGAAAAGGGAAGGTGCATAGAAGCACAAGTGAAAAACAGAAAAATACCATGTCAAAATCAATTTTGATTTTTTTGACTTTTCTTAGTTTGTGTCTAAGCTTTAATGTTCTCTAAAAGTAGTCCTTGTCTCTGATTCTTCTTCCTTTCTGGACTTTTTTTCCCTCAAACAACCTTTTTTAGGAAAAAAAACCTGTTGGAAGTTAGAAAATGCCTATTATTTACCAGTAACATAAAAAAAATATTGTAAAAGCAGCTATCATAAGCTCAGTTAAAACATCACTTACTAATGACCATGTATATTCTTCTGCACATGTACAGTCCTTACTGTGTATGCACATTAACAGCCTCATAAAAGCAAATACACAAATATGATCTTGATTATTTAGGTCCTTCCCCCATGGTACACACTAGAGACCTTCCAATCCCCTGAATCCAAGTCCTAAAGACTGGTAAATCAACTAGCTTAGAAGAACTTCTAGCCTTCCTCATAGGGCACAAAGGAATGGAAGTCTCTGGTGAGAGAGAAACTTATACATATTCACCACATTCCCTATTTTCTTACTCTCTACCCACAGCCCAGGCAGTTCCATATCCCTCTGCTAGAGCAACTCATTTACCTCTCTACCAGTGGGGAGAGGCAGTGAAGTGGCCAGTAATCTGAAAATGTGTTTAATCTTGATTAGACAAATGACAGAGGGGAAGATGAGATCTCCCTTTTTGCCATTCATCCATGACTGCTGAATGTAGCTGCCTGCAATGCCCCCAGGACTGGCTCTGTGGCAGGTGGAAGGGACTCCTGCATCCAGGTAGCCTTTAGGCTGCATTGAGGTTCTTCTCCACCTGCCCTTCTTGAGAGCTTCTCCGCAATGGGAAAACGATGGCAAGAAAGTCTCATTTTAATGTGGTTTTCATAATAAAACTGTCAATCTTTAAGAAGCAGAAGTTACTAGGCAGTGGCCCTTTAAAATTTTAATCTAACTTATAAATACAAACACAGACCAGATATTGTTCTTCAGCAAATGGAGGGCAAAAAGCATCAGCTAAATTGCTGAAATAGCTGCCAGTAGATGCTGATTCCATTTCTGGAGAATAAACTTCTGTAGACATACAGATCCACAGAAAGTCAGAAGTCCCTTCCTTCATATAGATCTTTTTTGTACTCTATCTTCCTGGTGAAATGAACATTTCTGAATCTGGAGTTATTTATGCTCAGAAAGGTAAAGTTCACCTTCCTGCTGCTCAGAAAAAAAATCAA